CAGGGCTACACCTCCCACCCCTCGACCGGAGGCTGAGGCAGGAGGACTGCCGTTGGAGGCCAGCCCCGCTACTCAAAATAAAATAAGGGCACCTGCACCTGGGCACCCCTGCCCCGCCCCACCCAGTCTCTAATGTCTGCCAGCTCCAGCCTGTCACCAGAATTGCTGACACAGGTCCACCTGGGGACCGGGGCCTCCCTGGGGTGACTGTGTGGAGAGAGCCGAGGAGCACTTCGATCCCCTCCTGAGGGGCACCTGCGTCCTCCACACCCCACTGTGGGAGCAGAGGGGCCACGCCCACAGCCACCTGGCCACCGGGAAGGGCCAGGCAGCTCTGAGCCCAGGGAGCCTGGGGATGGCAGGCTGCTCCTGAATGGCCTCCCTCCCCGCGTCCCCCCCTCGACAGCTGCACCGCTGGGGCCTCTCCTGACGCACCTCACACGCACACCACCAGGTCCCCCGGGAATGCCGTCGTCCTCCGCGACCGCTGGAATCGGCCCCTCGCTGAGCGAGCCAGTCTGCATGGGGGTCACAGCCTCCCTTCCCGCCTCACCTCCCTGGCCTGACCTTGGTACGGGCCACAGCTCAGACCTCCCGTGCCACCTGGCCTGGGCCTCCAACACGCCAGCCCAGGCCTGGGCCCGACCCCGGGGCCTTTGCACGGCTGTGCCCTCTGCTGACCTGGCAGCATCCTGCTCTGCCCCCCGCAGCCCTGCTCACTGAGTGTCCCCCTAGACTTTGCGAGCCTCCTCGTGGGACATGCTCAGCTGCAGCGGGTCGTCCATCGCCACTGTCCCTCCCTTTGCAGGTAGTGACTGATTCTTGGAAAAGGGAGCCAGGGAGAGGCCAGCCCAGTTCTCTGAGCTTTGGCCGATGTGGCTGGGAGGGAGTCGGCTCCCTGGCACGGCTGGCCACGCAGCGCCTGGGCATGACCCCATCACTGGGCTGCCTGGCCTTCCTGATCCCGGAGCGCAGCGGCCACGCCTGCCACCAGCCGTTCAGGAGGCTGAGGCCGGAGGACGGCACATTCGGGGCAGCCTCCTGCTTGTGCCTCTGCCCTCACAGGGTGGTCACCTGCTTGGAGCCCGGGTCAGCTGTCACTTTTCACCAACAGTGTCCAGCACCACCGTGGCCTCAGCCTTGCCCCCTCCCAACGCCTGTTCCCCCGCCGTACTTCGCGGCCCGCCTCCCCGAGAGGCTCTTATCTGATCCCAGGTGGTCGGATTCCAGAAACTTCCACCCGTGGCCTCCTGTGTTCAGCCCACGGTGGCCGCAGTCTGAGCAGGCGGCCGGCATCTCCCTGTCCCATACACAGGTGCACACCCACGGCACACAGCCACAGCACAGCCACACGCACACCCACACGCACAGCCACACGCACACTCACAGCACATCCACACGTATAGCCACAGCACAGCCACATGCACACCCACACGCACTCCCACACGCACAGCCGCACGCACACCCACAGCACAGCCACACCCACACGTACAGCCACACGCACTCACAGCACACCCACACGTACAGCCACACGCACACTCACAGCACAGCCACACGCACACCCACAGCACAGCCACAGCACACCCACACGTACAGCCACACGCACACTCACAGCACAGCCACACACACACTCACAGCACAGCCACACGCACACCCACACGCACACCCACAGCACACTCACAGCACACCCGCACATACAGCCACAGCACAACCACACACACAGCCACATGCACAACCGCACACACAGCCGCACGCACAGCCACACGCACTCCCACACGCACAGCCGCACACACAGCTGCCCACCACCAAACACACCAATATGGAACCCCCCAGAAGCACAATCCCAACCACATGAGGCACGGCCGCCACACGATGCCCAGACCCACGGTGCCCAGACCCACGGCCACACGTCACACAGACTCGACTGCACCAGCCACACAGAATCACACGCACAGCTCCACATGGGACCTCACGGTCACACGCAGCCAGCCAGGGCCACTGGCCAGCAGGGTGGGGTCGTTCTTGGAGGGTGAGTCCTGTCAAGGCCCCGTCCTCAGTGCCCCAAGCTGCGCCCTGACAGGGACGGGGACCACCCAGCGTCCGGAGCTGGGCCCCTGTGGCGCCTCTCCTGGGGCCAGGCCAGGACCCAGCCCTGCACCTCCTGGGCACGGCCCCCGGGCCCCTCCGCTCCCCAGCCCGCAGGTGGGCAGCGGCACTGACTTGGGACGTTCATGGAGCCGGGAGCCCCTCCCTGCAGGCCTCTGACCACATCCTCCTCAGGGCCACCCACGTCTCTGGCACCTTCACCCTGCGGCATCTGAGGCCCAGCCCTGGCAGGGCGGGCGTGGGGCCAGGGCTGGGTCAGAGGCAGCCTGGGCCTCCTCCAGAGCCCCCGGCTCCGGACGCTGCTGGGCCACCCACCTGCTCTGGGCACGTTTGTGGGTAGAGGACCCGAAAGCTGGGCGCAGTAGAGAGGCCTGGGAGTCCTGCCCCCTCTACACGGTCCGCCCTGACCGGGGCCCCACGGCCAGTCACCGCACCCCCGACCAGCCCACGACCCCTGTGCAGCCTGCACGCTCTGGCCAGCGCAGCCTGGTGTCCCCCGCGGCCAGGGCAGCCGACTCACCCACGCTCAGGCCGAGGATGCACTGCAGCCCAGCCCAGCAGGTGCGGCCGACTGGAGGGCAGCCGGCGGGCGGCTCTGGCAGGCTCCGCCCCTCTCCTCCCACCTGACCCCGGCCAAGGCCAAGCCCCTTCCCTGAGGAGCCAACTCCCTGGGTCAGGCTCTGCCAGGGGAGTCCTGCCGCCCCGGATCCCACAGGAGCTGGGCCAAGGTCAGAGGTGGCCACAGTCAAGAGGGTGTCTGTCCCTGGTCTGTCGGGCTGCTGCGCGGCCACCGGAGCAGGCCCAGTTGACAGGGCGGGAGGGGTGCTCAGGGTGTCCCCAGGAAGCAGGGGCACTGATGGACAGGGATGTGCATGAATTGGGTACAGCCATGCTTCTCTGGCACTGGGGTTGAGCCCGGGAACACTCGAGGGCACACCAAGTTATTGAGGCTGGCCTCAATTGTGATCCTCCCGCCTCAGCCTCCAGAGCTGCTGGGACGACAGGTGTGCACCCTGGCACTGACCACATTCACCCTTTATTCACAAGGGTCACTTTCCTGGGTCCCCTGTCTGGGCCCCATCAGGTCCCACATGACATCAGTGCTCACGTCCCCTTGGCTCCTGTGGGCTGTGGTCACTTCTCAGACTGTCCTTGCTTCTGAGGCCCTGGACATTTGGGGCTGTCAGGAGCCTGGTGTGGCCCTGCATCGGGACTTTCCTGGTGGTCTCCTCAGGACGGACAGTTCCACAGCTCTTGGCACAGTGCCCCTGCCACCTGGCTCTGCCTCCTGTTGGTCCCCGGGCGCTATCCCCCCCACCCCCACTCTTGGGGACAGGCTCTGGTAGGGCCGTGCTGGGGTTTGTTGGAGCCGCCTTCAGGTTGCCGTAGCACACACCTGTGACCTACAAGGTGAGCCTGCAGCCACAATGCCGTCCCGCAGGTCGGTGCCACCTTCCACTCACCCCGCCCTCGCCCCTCCCCCACCAACAGGTCGGGCACCACATCCTGGCTCTGGCCCAACTCCTGGGCCAGGCTCCCCGGCTGCTGGTGCTGGACAGGAGCATGGCCCTGTCCCGGGACGACCCTGTCCTGGGACGACTGGACAGCTGTGCCAGGAGCAGCTGCACCCCCAGGAGCTGGCCACACGGCTCAGGCGGCAGGACGCCCAGCAGGGGCCCTTCCTCTCCCCAGAACCCAGGCAGGCCCTGGACACCTGATGACATCTCACTAGTCCCCCTGCCCACCGTGCCCCGGGGACCTGCCACCTCTCCAGCTGGGCACCCGGGACTGGGAGACTCCTCCAGGGTCCCCTAGGCTCCCTGGGTCATCTCCTCCAGGAACCTTTCCTAACGCTGCCCTCAAGACCAGCAGGGTCCTCCCCCAGGTGACCCCAAGTCCTCTGAGCCAACGGGCGCCCTGTCCCTGTCGCGCAGGCTGCAGGACGCCACCCGGGGCAGCTCTGGGCCTGGGGGGCACATGCAGCGTTTTCTGTCCCCAGCACACCGCGGGTGCTCGGCCAAGGCCGGTGGTGTTGGGGAAACAGGTGGGGACGGTGGACAGGTGGCTGTGTGGTGGAGGCCTTCCCCTCACATGCCCCACTGGCCGGCCACCCCCACCGTGCCGTGGCTCCTGGGGTCCCCAAGCCCCTGCCCCACAGGTCTCCAGGCACCAGTGAGCACCATCCCCGAGTGGGGTGGAGGCCCCAGCCGCTGTGCCTGCCGGAGGCCAGGGGGCAGGCTGGGCAGCCCGCCCAGGACCAGGCGCCCGTGTGGCCCTTCTCACAGGCAGGATCGGCCACTGTGGAGGACTTGCACACGGCCTGGATGCCTCAGCAGACTCCGCGGTGTGGGGGTGCCACCGGCTCACACTGGCAGCCATGCTGCCCTGGGGCCCCAGGAGGCCACCCTCCTGCAGGGCAGCCTGAGCCCCACCTGGCACCGCTATGTTCAAGTCCCAGGGGCCAGGTCGTGTCACTCTGCCCAAGGGGGCCGACGCTGGCAGAGCTGGCACCTACCCAGCGGCACCCCCCTCCCCCGGGCAGGAGGGCCTGGAGGCAGGTGGCCTGGCGAGGGTCGGGGCTCTTGCTGCCCGTGCCCAGGTCTCCATGTTTTCAGGATAACGTGGTCTTGGTCTGCAGGTCGGAAGACACTTGTGACCCGTGAAGATGCCCCAGGACACATCCCAGGTCCTGTGTCCCTCCAAGTGGCAGCAGAGCAGAGCAGCAGCATGTGGCCCTCAGGGCAGGCCACGTGGGGGGCCCTGACTTGACTCCCCTCAGGGCGTGGTCATGGCTGACAAAGTCCAGGGCCCCTGCACCTGCGCAGTGCTCTGGACACAGCAGTGGACACGGCCACCTCCTGCCCACAGCTCACCACCCCACAGCAGGGCCAGTGGCAGATACCAAAAGCGACGTTTAATCCTTAGTCAACAGAAGCAAGGCCAACCCTGAGTGGCGCTTGCCTGGGAAGTCCACCCTGGTCCACCCCAGCCTGAGGACGTGGCCCTGACCCGCCCCGGGCGGCTCAGGGTGCAGTCTGAGTGCAGAAGCAGCCGCCTGCCCCCAGGTCCCGCCCAGCACCTCAGCGTCCAGAGGAACCGCTGCTCTTGGCCAAGCTCACCCCTCCAGGACAGGAGTGGCTAAGAGGCGCTGGCGGTGGCTTTCGGGGAGGGCCATCCTCGTCCTCTCCCTGGAGGCAGATGCGCTCGCCGTCTGCAGTGCTGGCACATCTGCCCTGGGCAGGGGCCACGTGGGGATGTGCGCAGGCTGCAGGACGCCAGGCTCTGTCGCCTTCCTGGCCTGCAGTGGGGACGTGCAGCGAGACGCAGGCCCAGCAGCCACACCTGGGCCAACTCCAGCTCAGGCCCCTGTCAGTCGATGAGGTAGAGGGCAGAAGGCCAACTCTGGGTCATCCTCGCACCTTCCAGAAGCCCCTCCACAGAGGAGGCACCAGGTGCCACGCTGACACTTGTGACTCGTGAAGACTGGGCCCTGGGCCAGTCCTACTCCCCAGCTCCAGGACGCTGGTGCCCGGCCTGCTCCACGGGGCAGACTCGCGTGCCACTGGCTGATGGCCCTGCTGAGGACCGCTGCCTTCACCCAAGCCTGGCTCGCCACCCCCAGCCCCACGGGCCCTGTCCCTCAGGCCTCAGCTGGAGCCCCGGGATGTGGCTGCTTCCTGCCCCGGGGGCCACGGCTCCTGGCACCTGGTCCAGGGGTCTCGGGAGTCAGCCCGTCAGAGCAGTCCTGCAGGGAGAGCCCGGGGCAGCAGGAGGGAAGCACCAAACGCAGGGACCTGGGCAGCGCCCACTGGGCTCCAGAGAGCACAAGCACCCCTCGTGAAACCAGGAGGAGGACCCAAAGGAAGACTGCAGGGCTGGCAGGCAGGGCAGCCAAGCAGGCGGAGCCGCTGGAGAGGGCCAGGGTGCGGCTGCAGCGGGGGCAGGCAGGGGCGGAGGGGGAGCTGCGGGAACCTCGCCGGGCACTGAGCACCATGTAGGAGAGGGGCCCGGCGCAGGCCTTGTCCAGGGGGCGGTGGCACCCACGTCCGCTGCAGACACAGGCAGCCCCAGCATCTCGGCGTGATGTGGCGGCCGCGAGGGTCCAGAGCCGTGCACCTTCTCCCTAGGCCAAGGTCCCTGGCTGCGTGGCTTCTGGGGTGCTGCTGTCCGGGATCTTGGGCTCCTGGGCAGGGGCTGCTGCCCCCGTCTCCTCAGGTGCGGACGGTTCCTGGGGCTTCTCAGGGGGCATAGGGGACCTGACTGGTTCTTGGCTGACAGACCGTGGGGACAGCGGGGCGTCTGAGTCCTTCGGAGGCTGTGGACTGTCGGCAGGAGCCGGTGCCCACTGGGTCTGAGGTAGGTCTTTCTGCGGAAGAGAGGTGTTTGATGAGAGGGACAGGCACCCCCGTCCCTTGGCAGGGACAGCCCACGAATCACAGAGTAGTGCAGGGGGTCAGCAGAGTGGCCATCCCCAAAGGTCCAGATCCAGCTGCGCAGGAGGCCCTCAGTAGGGGGCTAGGGTGCTGGGCCCACCAGCACAGGGGCTGCAGGAGCCACCACAGCTCCTGAGGTCCAGGGCAAATGGCTGCAAAGCCTTTGGGGACCTCTCGGCCCAGCCTCAGCCCGAGGCCTGGCCTGACCCCGACCCTCCAGGGACCAACCGACTCACTCTGGGGGCAAGGCCGACCCTGGGACAGCCCCTGCAGGGTGCGGGCACCAGCGCCAAGCCCCGGTGCCAGCCGAGGGTCAGTGGGTGTCAGGACTGGCCTGCTCTTGTCCCAGGGGAGCCTGACACAAGGCACAGCCCCTGTGAGTGGCCCACTGACACCCACCGCCTGGACCCCCAGGGCAGGCGCCCACCGGGCCCGTTCTCCATGGCAGAAGCGGAGCCCAGCGCCCCCGCACAGGCAGGGCTGTGCTTGAAGGGGCGACCCTGGCAGAGGAAGCGTCAGCACGGGCAGCAGCGTAGCCTCAGTTGTGCCCAGGCCACACGGGCATGCCCAGAGTGTGCCCTTGCAGGAGCGGGACCCCACCAGGGGCCCGGTGGAGCAGGGGTGTCACTCAACTGTGGCCCAGTGAGGGCTTGGGGCGGACTCCACAGAGTCAGAGCAAACCCGTATTCACCGCAAAGCCGCTGCCCGTCCAGAAGGCGCCCAGCTCCCGGCGCCACAGCGCCACCAGGCAGCTCGTCACCAGAGTGCAGGGCACCAGGTAGAGGAGGGCGGGCTGGCCACGCTGCATGAGTGCCAGTGCCACAAACGTCACCAGGAGGCCAATGCCATAGGCTGCAGGGACAGACGGGGTGTCACCTTGGCCTGGCCAGGATCCCTCCTGCCCCTCCCGGGAACATGTTGGGCAGGGGCAGAACCAGAGAGCAAGGCCGCGAGGGCCCTGGGGTGGCACTGCGGGCAGCAGGGCCGTGGCTGCTCTGGGTGGGTGTGAAGAGCGGCTGCAAGGGGCTGCCTCCCTGGAGCAGGAGGCACAGTCGGCGACTGGGAAGTGCACACGTGTGCAGACGCAGGACAGCACTACAAGGTGCGGCCCAGCCTGGGGACAGTCACACTCACGCACACGGCACCTCGTGTGAGGGCTCTGTGACACAGCAGGCAAAGGGGACCCAGGAAGACAACCACATGGGGCTGCCCAGCTGCCCAGCTCGAGGCCCCCAGAAGAGAGGACAGACTCAGGCCCAGGGGCTGCGGCTGCCCAGTGGCAGTGCGGTGCCTACCCACGGTGCAGGCCACAAAGTAGACCCGGGAGGACTGTGCCTGGATGTCGAACCTGTGGCAGTAGGCCACCAGCAGCCCTGCAGAGAGGACGGTGAGGACGCGGCTCACCCGGGGCCCCACTGTGGCCGGCCTGGGACCGTCAAGTGTCCCCAGGACCTGGGCCTGCCGTGTGCCACAGCAGCTGCCCAGCATGAGAGCCACACCCAGGTGCAGGGGCGCAGCGGGAGGGACAAGGACCTGCCTCTGTCCCTGGGCAGCAGCCCCAGGCCGCCCACACCGCATGCCTGCCCTGCCAGTCCCCCACCCACTCTTCCCAGGGCAGCCCTGACTGTTGGGGCTGGGCTCAGGCTCCCTGTCACGGGAGGCACCAGGCCCAGCTCTGGGGATGTCCCACAGCACCGCCCTCCGGGAACCTGCCAGCCCCAGTACCTGGCACCAGGATGTCTCCAAAGCCCAGGAGGGAGAAGGGCCGGTCACACAGGGCCAGTGGCGAGGCATTCAGCCTGGGCACCTTCAGGACCATGGGCAGCTGCACAGGAAGAGAGGGGAAGCCTTTCCCGGCACGGCCCACGCCCACCACCTGCGGCCCCAAGGCCCATGCAGCCAGAACCGTACCTTCTCACGAGTGGCCGAGTCCGAGGGCCCAGTGGCCACCTCCACCATGATGCTGTTCCCGCTCTGCAGGGGAAGGGGCGCGTCAGGGCGGGGAGGAGGAGCGGGCCGGGGTGGGGGTGGGGAGCGGTGCCTACCTTGGTCAGGAAGGGCGTGACGAAGACGAAGAAGACGTCGTAGAGGAAGAGCACCAGCAGGAGCAGCGTGCAGGCCTGCGGGGGGACGTACGGCTGCCAGGCCCCGGCCCTGCACACCCAGGACGCAGCCCTCGCAGGGAGGCAAGGAAGGGGCTGTGGCTGGGCTGGGGGCGGGGGGCAGGGGGCAGAGCCAAACCCGAGGCTGCAGGGGCCTGGCAGCGACAGCTCTTCGTGAGTCCCCACTCAGGGCCCCTAAGGCCACGGGCCACTCTGGAGTGGGGACCTGGCACCACCAGGGCTTGCGACGCCCAGGACCGCCCGCCTCACCTTGAACGTGGGCAGGCGGACGGTCCTGAGCATGTAGAGGCAGAAGGCCACACCCAGCGTGTCCTGCAGGACCCACGCCCACCTGGAAGGAAGGTGCCCAGCTGACCATCTGCCCCCACCCCCCACCCCCCCCCAGTGCCCACAGGGCTGCACCTGGTCCTCAGCCACCAGGCAGCCAGGCTGCACACCTCCAGGAGCAGCCCCCCTCTTGCCTGGCCAGGGCTGGGCTGCCCAGCTCCACTGGGAGGCTGGTTGCAGGGGTGACATCACAGTCTCCCCCCCCCCCCCCGGGGTAGGGGGCCGTGGGAGGACCCTGCTGCTGCTGCATGAGGTGCTATTTATAAGAGAGAATCTTGTGCCCAGCCAGGCTCGCTATCATCCCCTGGTCCCTGGGAGAGCAATGGACCTGGGGACAGGCCTTGGGGACAAGGCATGTAGTCAAGTGCCAAGGGACAAAACCAGGTGGCCTCCCACTCCGCCCCCTCCCATCCCAACCTCACACCCCCCACCCCACCTGCAGGCTCGCCAGCTGCCTGCAGGACCGGTCCCCCCCAGCCGAACACAATGAGATCATCTCCCCTCCGTGGCAGCTTGGGACAGCCACTACTGCACCAGGTGCGGGGACAGCAGGGTTCCACTCCTGGCAGCGGACGGCTTCCCGGCTGCATCCAACCCCTTGGCTCCCGTTCCCTTTGTCCACAAAGGACTCGAGGTGTCTCCACCTCTCCCCTCTGGCACTTCAACCTGCTGAGGCTCCGAGTGGCACTGAAGCCAGAGGCGCCTGGCTGCTTCAAGAAAAGCTCAGGGCCCTGCCAGGTGGCTTCAGGCACAGTGGGGGAGCGGGTGGGGACAGGCCAGCTGTCCCTGGGCCCTAGCATGGGCACTCCCTGCTCAGGGAGGTGGCTGGTGGTTGGGAAGCAAGAGAGAGGGAGAGGGGCCGAGGGCGGGTGTGCACAGGCTCCCTCCGGTGGGGCCCGGGCCAAGATGGGGTCGGGGGCAGAGGGTGGCTCTGGACAGCGCCCCCTTCCCCTGGCTGTGCAGGAGGACAGGGTGCCTGGGGCATCTCTATCCAGGTTCCAATCAGGGCGGTGGCACCCAGCCAAACCCAGGTGAAACTGGATGCGGGGCAGGGGCGCCACAGGGGCCGCGGCTGGGCCAGGAGAGCAGAGCCGGTGCTCTCACGCTGAGGCTGAAGCGGCTCCAGCCGGGGTGGCTGCAGGAGCCCGGCCTGGAGCACCTGAGGACAGGGCCCTGCGCCCAGGGCCTGCAGGGAGGAAGGACGTACTGGTCCTCGTTGCGGAAGACGCCCCACACCACACTGACGGCGATGCAGAGGAGAGCCAGGAGCAGCATGCGGGCCTGCGGGCGCTTGTGGAAGTAGGGCAGGCTGTTGTCGGGGACCCTGGGGAGGAGCACCCATCAGCACCAGGAACCCACCCCTCAACCCTCCCTGCCGCCCCACCCAGACCCACTCGGCTGCCTGCCCGCCTCACCCACTGTGCTGCAGGCCCTGTGGAGGCGCCCAGGGTCCTCCTGCCCACCTCCCACCCTGACAGGCTCGACACCCCCTCAGGGTGACAGCACAGGCTAGCCCCTCTCCTTGGGCAGTGCTCCGGGTGCCGGCCCTCCACACCCGCATCCCACCTGGTCTACAGCGGCCCTCTCTGGAGCTCCTGGGCTCTGGCCCTCAGCCTGCCAGGTGCCCCGATAGGCCTGGCTGCTACCCACTGGAGCCCCACAGGCCGAGGCCCCAGGCAGCCGGCTGAACTTGGTACCTCCCTGCCCCTCACAGTGACCCTGCAGCCTGGACACCTACGGCCGTGTACCTAGAGCAAGGGAACCCTGTTCCTGCTGTGTCCCCCACTGCCTTGGTCCTGGTGGGCTCTGCTGACAGCCTTGTGCTGGACAGTAGGCGAGAGGGACGCTGTCTGGATACGTGGGGACCTGAGAACCAGCACCCACCTCTCAGCCCTGCCCTGAATTGCAGAGACAGGTGGGCACAGGAGGGAGGGGGTCCTGGCCGTCGGCAGGCAAAGCATGGCGCTTCAGGGGCCTGGAAGTGGACCACGATGCCTGTGGGGTGCCCGCCTCCCCTCCATGCGGCTCACCTGCACTCGCAGAAGGGCAGCCGGCGCACGCAGGGGGCCAGGCAGCTGTAGAGGCCGGTGGAGGAGGCCAGGCAGAAGATCCCGATGATGGCATAGACTGCGGGGGCAGGGCGGTGAGGCTGGTACCCGCGCCCACCTGCCCAGGCACCCTCGGGGGGCGGGTGGCGCACCCAGGTGGTCGTAGAAGTGGTAGAGCAGCACCAGCATGGAGCAGCACATGACCACGAACACGCCGATCATGACAGGCGTCACGTCCACCGCCGCCTCCTCCTGCTTCTCGGGCCCGTCGTCCCGCTTGTGTTTCATGTACCTTCTTGGAAGATACCACAAGGACTCGAGGTCACCAGGCACAGGGTCAGGCCCGGGGCGGGGGCAGGTCGGGCTGAACCAGCTCTGACCGCAGGGGCAGAACAGGAGCCCTCCCGGCCACCAGCCCTCGTGCTGGCCAGTGGAGATGGTGCAGGCCACTGGCCAGCCGAGTCCAACTGCCATCTAAGTGTGAGGGGCCACAGAATGGGGCAGCTCCTGGCGACAGAGGGGCATGAAAGCTCCGGGCTCCCCACACACCCCCAAGTCCCTGGGGACCTCCTTGACCTGGTGGGGACAGAACTGCTCCAAGGAGCCGCAACTCAGGAGGCTCTGGGGTGGACCACCCCCAGGGCCATGCTCTGCCCTGCCCTGCTGCTGCCCCACCTCCATCATGTGCTGGGGCCCTGGGCACTGCCAGTGCGGGAGCTCTAGACCCCCTGGCACCCACCACCATGGCCACAGCCCACCCTCCCCACGCCCAACACTCCTCACTCACTTCCTCACATCCCGGCTCCCGGCCCAGTAGCCCCCGATGGCAACGGTGCCCACGGCCATGATGAAGATGATGACCATGTTGTAGTCCAGCACCGGCTCACTGGGTGCGTACAGCGCCACCCGCACTGCTTGGCCGAAGCTCTGCCTCAGGGAACAGGCCTCGCTGACCTCGTAGGCAGGCCGCCCGCCCTGCCCACCAGCAGAGCCTGGGGCGGGTGGGGCTGGGGGACCCTGCCCCGGGATCTCCCTCCCAGGCACTGACCCACCATCCTGACCCACAGCAGCCAGCCCAGGCCCCTGCTCGGCGCCCTCTCCGACCCCGGGGCACAGAGCAGGCAGGTGCAGGCCTACCCTGAAGATGTCCAGCATGTCTCTGTGGCTGAGGAGGGCCACGGGGATGCCAATCTCCTCGTACTGCGTCTTGTTGCCTCCTGGGGGAACCTGGAGCCCGGAGAAGGGAGCACGCGGTCACCACCGCCTCAGGGCCAGACCTTGCCTGCAGGCCCAGGTCCTCAGCCAGAGCCCTGGTTTGTGGAAGGGACATGGAGGCCAGGCTCTAAGCCCCCTGGCAAAGGCCCAGCGGCCCCTCAGGAATGCGGACTCAAGCTGCTCCCCTTCGCCTGGCCCAGGCCCACGGCCCTGCTGCCCTCACAGGCTCCACCCACCTGGTGCTGCCCAACTGCCCAGGGGGGTCCCCCCCACCGCGCTGGGCCCAGGGCTGGCTGCTGCAGCCGAAGGAGCAGCCCTCGAAGGAGCAGCCCTCACTGAGCAGCAGACCACCCTGCCTCTGCCACACGGCTGTCCTGGAGAGGCGCAGAGCCTGGCAGGGCAGGACTGGGCTGCGGCACTCTCCCTGGTGGTGACCGCTGTCCCCGAGGGTGCACAGAAGGCCATACCAGCTTCTCCTTGCTGACGATGAGCAGCCCGCGCGCCCCGCTGCCCTGGGCCAGCCGCACCTTCTCGTAGAAGGTGCAGTTCCCGCGGGCCACCAGTGGGATCTGGCTGCTGAAGCCGCTGGCGGGGAGGTCGCTCGGGGAGCACAGCAGCGAGGCCGTCCAGTTGCGCAGCTGCAGGAGAGACTGAGGGCAGACGAGGCCCTGAGTTGCCGAGGGGCGGCCCGAGACCCCACCACGCATCCAACAGGAGGGTAGCTTTCGCCTGCCCCAACCCAGGGTTCCCAGGGCCCAGCCGCGCTGTGACAGAGGGCCGCAGAAGGGACACACTGGGCTTTCTGGGGACAACAGGGCCTGGCGGGGCTTCCCAGGGGCCCAGCAGAAGGCTGAAGCCCTAGGTCTGCCACTCGAAGCCCAGGCCGTGCCCGAGTCTGCCCAGAGCCAGATGCTGCCACTGTGCACTGCAGGCAGAGGATCTCCCTGCATCTCGGGTGGCCTTGGGCGACCCCAGGCTGGGGACGGGTGCCCCCTGTGGCCCACGCAGCCCCCTTCTCTGCATTCCTGCCAGACCTTCAGGTCCTGCCATGTGCCGGTGGCGCCTGGCACCCAGAGACCGCCCAGCCTGGGCAGCACACACAAGCTGGTTTGTGGAAGGGACAGGACACTCACAGTACACACTGCGCACACACAAACGTGAGCCCACAACGTGCACAGCTGGGCGCTCAACCCGTTCACGCCCACGCCCACCTGCAGGCACATCCCGAAGCTTGTGGCACACACATACGCACACCCACAGCTCACACACACACAGAGGTGGCCACGCTTGGAGGACAGATCTGTTCCGAGGAGAGAGATGGCCGCTGAGAGGGAGACGAGTGCTTGAGGTGCGATCCATGCACGGCGCAGGTGGTGGCCAGGAGCAAAGCCGTGAGGAAACACAGGCAGAGAGGCACGCCTGTGTCTGGGTCCCCCCATCTCCCATCAGGCCTAGGACCCTGACCCTGTCCTGGCCATGCCCAGAGCGGCAGAAAGGCCCATCTGCCAGCAGGCCTCTGGACAGCTCTCATTTACAACCATGGAGACTGAGGCCCAGAGGGGCTCACTGAGGCCCAGAGGGGCTCACTGAGGCTCCAGTGGCAGGTGGCCCGTGCCCAGGGTCTGCATCCTGGCTTTGCTAACTTGGCTTTTCCAAACTGCTGCAGGAAGAGTGGCCACGGCATGGGCGAGACCGACGACACCCCAGCTGGGTGGGTGGAGGGGCCTCGGGCAGCGGCACTCACCGCCTTGCTGAGGTCCTGCGGCAGGTGGGCCCACTGGGGGTTGTACAGGATGCAGTAGTCCTTGCCTTTGGGGGTCCCACTCTCCGGAAGCACACGCACCATGCCGTACTCACAGGCCACCTGCAGAGGTGACATGGTGCCAGTCAGAGACCCCACGAGGTAGAGCACCCAAGGACCTGAGGACATCTGGGGATGGGGTGCTTGTGTTCACAAGATGGCTGGGGACATTTCTATCCTCCTCTCAGCAGGACAGAGAAGAATACAAAGGAGACACACGCACGTGCATATACACACACGTACTTTTCCTGTGGTGCTGGGCCAGGAGCTTGGGACGAGGAGCATGTCAGGCAAGCACTGACCACTGAGCGACACCCGCTCCTGATGTCACACTGTAGGTGGGGGTTGGGGGAGAGCAAGGGCATGAAGGAGTCGCTTCCCAGGCAGACCCGGGTGGCCACAGCCGTCTGTGGGTCAGACCTGTAGGTCCCAGGTCTCTGCACCAACAGTGGCGCTGGGCTGGGCTCAGGGCATGTGTGAGGCACCAGGTTCGACTCTCAGCACCACATACAGGTAATAAAACCCTGGTCCATCAACAACACATGAACAGGATGGCCCCACCCCATGGGGCCTCCCAGGACCAGCAGGGACGGCAGGAGAGCCAAAGTCTTGGGGGAGAGGGCAGCACATCAGTTCTGTGTCCAGGCCCTGGCGGTCACTTGTGGCCGGGGGGCAATGGCCAGGACTGTGGGGCAGGGCGGGATGTCTGACTGAGCTTCCGGCACTCCAAGAAACGGGGGGATGGTCCCCCACCCACAGTCTGCATTACAGCTGGTCAAAAGACCAGTACAAGCGAGCACCGGTCAGGACCCCTGCTCAACGTCCCATCAGCTCCCTGGGAAAATGAGGCAAGAAGCGGACACAACCCAGGGCCCCCAGCGGGCAGGCTGGGTGCGGCACCCTGCTCCAGGCCGCAGTCCTGCCACAGCTGATAACCCGCGGCCCCGTCCCCGCTCTCTGCCAAGCCCCAGGTGACCGCCTGGCACCTGCTGACAGCAGCTGTGAACAGTGCTGGAACTCAGGCAGAGGGCAGGACATGAAGAGACCCCTGAGGGTGGCCCAGTGGCCTGGGACAGAAGAGGGTCCAGCTGTGGGGAGACACCTTTGCACCCAAAGCCCTGCCATGCCCTCGCCCCCTCCCCCGGGCCCGGGCTCAGGGGCCTGTCTGGGCCTCAGTCCTCCAGGTGGCTACGCGGCCTCCTGTTGCCTAGGCTCCTTCCTGGCTCACTGGAGCCCTGCCAGCGTCTGACAAGGACACTCCCTCTCACGGTGACACCTCGGGTCTGAAAAGTCGGGGTGTGGGGAGGGTGTGGCCCATGGTAGAGGGCCCTGGTGATCTGGGGAGCTCGCAGGCTGCAGAGGGGACAGGGGTCCCAGAAGAGGCCCCGGCCTTCTCAGAGCTGGACACCCGCACACTTGGGGCTCCTGGGCCACGCTCCTGCAGCTCCCTCCTGCGCGGCAGACACACTTAGTGTCTCCTGGGGACGAGCCACAGAAACAAGCAGGCAGCAGGCACTGGCGATGCATGGACGGGTGCCAACCTGCCCCAGCCATGGAGACTGGCACGGCAAGGTCCACCACACCACCAGGCCCCACAGGCCCCCAGGGCTCTGCAGAGACAAGGGTGGGGGGAAGGGAAGCTCTGGCCTGGCCAGGGCCCTGATGGCTTCTTGTGCGGACCTGGGCCCCTCCAGGGGCAGGGTGGTAAAAGCCCACAGGGCCCACCCCATGGCCTGGGCCAACATGAGGCCACGGGGCCACAAGGCCAGCTCTGGAGCTTTGCTGGTTTTGTTGTCTCAGGTGGGTGCTGGGCCCCTGGCGCCAACCATCAGTGAGATAAGGACCCTGTCTGCCGCACAGGCTGCTGGGTGTGTCCCGGGGCACCGAGCTGAAGCTGGACAGTGTGGCTGATCACCAGCACTCTCAGGAGAAGGGGAGGGGTGGCCTGAGGACAGCAGTTTCATTCCCCGCGCCTGGTCCCACACCCACCCAACCACAACCTCTGGTCAGTTCCCCCTGCCAAGGTTCCCACTGAGGACACTGTCAGTATGGCCCCTGGTGTCCTGGAAGCCCTGGGCCCTCCCAACAAGCTCCCACAGCCCCTGGCATCTGTCTGTGGGCCGCGGAGGGGCCCAGAGTGTACAGCCCAGCCAGTCTGCCTTCTGTCTGTAGTCTGCCTGGAACAAGCACGTCCCTGAGCACAGGTCCAAGGCTCCCCCACCACACGCGCAAAGCCGAGCAGCTGCCACGGGACCACGTGCCCCACAAAGCCAAACCCAGGGGCCCTTCCCAGGAGACAGCGCCATACCACTCTGGGGGACCGTGGCTTTTAGTGAAAAGTGTCTTTTGTGCAAAACAGAATTGACAACTAAAACTGCTTCGCTTCAAAAAGGTCATTTAAGAACACAAAAGTGGGGCTGGGGATGTGGCTCAAGCGGTAGCACGCTCGCCTGGAATGTGTGCGGCCCGGGCTCGATCCTCAGCACCACATACAAACAAAGATGTTGTGTCCGCCAAGAACTAAAAATAAAATAAATAAATATTAAAAAAAAAAGAACACAAAAATGGGGCTGGGGCCGTGGCTCAGTGGTAAAGCTCTTGCCTCACTGAGTTCGATTCTCAGCAGTGCATATACATAAATGAATAGAATACGGTCCTCCACCAACAACTTACACACACACACACACACACACACACACGTGCATTCATGAGTTTCCCTCCTCACAGCCTGTGAGACTGAGTGTCCGTCGAAAAGCCTGTGCTCCCCTCAGCCACCAGGAAACAGGGGCCCCCTGGGAAGTTTCCCACCTGCTGCACTAAAGGGCCTGGGAGGAGACCCCCAGAGGACCCAGCTGCAAAGGCACCCTGTGTTCCAGGTAAGCCTGAGCACGGCCTCCCCAGGGCAGACCCCACGTCACAGCCACCTGCACGCCTCACAGTCACGAGAAGGCCTGGAAATCCCGCGGAGCCGCTGCAGAGGCACCAGAAGTAGCTGACACCGCAGGGAAGGTGGGCCACAGGCCACTAAGCAGCAGACCCCACTTGTGACCTTACCCTGCACCCACTTGTCCTAACTGGAAAGAGGGACGTACTATGAATGTTCCACCTGCCCAGGGTCAGAAAACACCAGCAAGTTCAGGATTGTCACCAGCTTCTCCACCTGGGGAGAGCTGGTCTCATTTTTGTGCACCTGGATTCCAAAGTCCTAGAAGTGACCTGTCTGGGAGCAGGACCTGGACACACCAGGGGTGGCAGCTGCTGTCCTTAGCCATGCACAGCATGAAGTGCTCAGCCCTCAGCCCAGCACCAAGCCTCCCATCACCTGGCCTGAGGGCCACGGGCTCTGTCCTGCCCCTACCCTCTGCCTGGGGCCACTCCCAGCCTCCCCTCCTCCGGTTCTGAGGGAGATGCCCTGGCCTCCCTCCAAGGTCCATCTGAAACACCTCCTTTGTAGAGACATCTTTCTGGTGTGTGAGGGGACACTTCTCCCTGGAGCACTGAAGCAGCCTACATGCCGGGCCTGCAGCTCCCATCTCCATGCAGATCACGGCTCACACTCCTGCTCTGGCACCCTCACCTGGACAATTCCAAGCAAACACTCCTGCCCTCTGTGGTGTCCCCACAATCCTGCAGCCACCTCTCTTGCCTTCTCCTCATTCAAAATAGCTGGAGAGTGCAAAGCCCCTTCCTAAGATGGGACGCCGCGGGGCACAGCCAGGGGCTGGGGAAGCAGCCGGGAGGTGGGGGGCATTGCAGGGCGACAGGAAAGACAGAAGCACAGGGCCGCCGGCCGTTGGCGAGCCACCTCCCTTCAGAACAGCTAGCTGACAGGGCGACAGGGCGTGGTAAGGGATGGGGGCCGCTGGACGGCTGGCACCTGGACACGACTAGACCTGCCGGGGTGAGCAGCAGTCCTGCCTGCGGGAGAACGCCCGGGAGGTGGGCGTGGGGCAAAAGCAGCCACGGGGAGAAAGGGCCAGCTGCTGGGGCTCCTCAGGGACAGCGCTGGGCCGCGGCGAGCGGCGGCAGAGGCCGAGGGCCAGAAAGCGGGCGGAAGGTCCCGCGGCAGCCAGGAGGGGGGCAGGCCCGGAGACGCGACATCACTCTGACGGCGCGCGCCGGCCAGCTCGGGGACTGTCCCCGCTGGGACCCGACCGTCAGCGGCGCGCCGCTCCTGGCCCGCACCCCAGACGCCCCCTGGGCGGACCCGCAGCCTCGGCTCAAGGCGGGGATCTCCTCCAAGGTCAAGGGTAAAAGACGGGGCAGGGGCTCGCCCCCTCCAGGGCGGGCTCTCGACTCGGCCTCGAGCTGCCGAGCTGGGGAGGCCGCGCTGGCCGCCGGACGCCGGGCCTCCCCGCACCTGGCGGGGCGCGCAGCGTCGTGCCCACCGCGCGGGCGGGACGCCGCGGCTGGGAGGGCGGCAGGCACCGCAGAGGCCCCAGGGCCCGGGAGCGGCCGGAGACCCCGCGACGCGGCCCGGGGGAGAGGGGCCGCGGCCGCAAGGTCACAGCCGGCTCGGGGCGCGCGGGGGTCGGGCCGAGGGCGGCAGCCGCGGGACCGCGGGGCCGCGGAGCCCTCACCTCGGCCGCGAGGAACAGAAAAGCGGTGACAAGCCGCGCCAGCGCCGCAGCCGCCATGTCCGCGGGTCCCGCCGCAGCCGAAGGCACCAGTTTCCCAGCGACGCCCCGGGCTCCGCACCGCGCATGCGCTGTTTTGCGCGCCGGGTCAAAGGGCGCGGCGCCTGCGCAGATCGGCCGGAGGCAAGATGGCGGTGCGCGGGCCGGCGGAGGGGGTGGAGGCCGTGGGCGCGGGGCCGCGGGGGCCGGGGCCGGGGTGCAGAGGGGGTCGGGGTGCAGAAGAGGACGGGGACGCGGTGGAGAGGGGGACGGGGTGGAGAAGGGGACGGGGACAGAGTGTAAAGGGGGACAGGTCCACGAGGAATGGGGACGGAGCGCAGAGGGGGACGGGGATGGGGTGCACGGGAGACGGGGTGCACAGGAGGTCGGGGTGCAGAGGAGGTCGGGGTGCAGAGGGGGACAGGGCCACGAGGAATGGGGGCGGGGTGCAGAGGGGAACAGCCACGAGGAATGGGGACGGAGCGCAGAGGGGGACGGGGACGGGGTGCACAGGAGGACGGGGTGCAGAGGGGGACAGGACCACGAGGAATGGGGATGGGGTGCACAGGAGGACGGGGTGCAGAGGGGGACGGGATGCAGAGTGGATAGTGCCACGGGGAACGGGAAGGGGTGCAGAGGGGGACAGGGCCACGAGGAATGGGGACAGGGTGCAGAGGGGGACGGGCTGCGGGGAACGGGGATGGGATGGGGTACAGAGGGGGAGAGGGGCTCCAGGTCCGCTCCTATAGCGGGTGCTCCCCCTGGGTTAGGGACGGGAGCTGCGGGTGGGGAGGCCGTGGGGGTTGAGGGCTGCGGACGGCAGCCTCACGTGCTGTGCCCCCCTCAGGACAAAGAGAAGAAGAAGAAGGAGAGCATCTTGGACCTGTCCAAGTACATCGACAAGACCATCCGGGTGAAGTTCCAGGGGGGCCGTGAAGGTGAGGCCCAGGGCACGCTGGCTTGGCGGTGCAAACGGCCGTGAAGAGGGGTCTGCGCGCTTGACCGGGCCACTTTGCACAGTCAGACTGACCCAGCTGGAAGGGAGTGGGGACGCTGAGGCTCGGGTGGGGGAACAACACAACCCAGTGGCACAGCTGGGGCGGACTCAGGACCTGGCTTCCCACGTGGTCCCGTGTCTGCAGCCCCCCCCCCGCGCCCGGCTTCCTGGTGTCTTGGCTTCTGTTCCTGCTCCCCAGACACCAGGGCCTTCCCTCGGCCTCTGCACCTGTGGGGCCAGGGGGGTCTCTGGCTGGCCATCCCCAGCACTGCAGCAGATGAAGCAGCAGGCCCGGCCTCCCCCCCCCCCCCCCCCCCCCCCCGTTCCAGGCCAGGAGCACGGCGGGTGGTGACCATGAGAGTGGCCCTAGATAGGGCCAGTGTCCCCTGTAGCAGTTTCCACTGGTGGGGAACCACAACTCTGTGACCAACCTGCACATGGTGGCCAAAGGAACCTGTCAGGGTGGGTTCCCTCGCGCCTGCTCGGACCCTACAGGGCTCCCCGCTCTGGGTCAAGCCTGCCCTCCTCCAGCAGGTGAGGGCCCAGCACTCACTGCCGCTCTGTGCTCGCCGTCTCGGGGCGAGCCCTGCGTCTGGCCTGTGCAGGACCTAGCAAGAGCAAGGCTCTCACAGCGCAGGAGCCAGCCGGGTGCCGCGGCCCTGTGGCCCTGTGGTCCACGGGTGAGAGCAGCAGTGGGCCCTGGACTCTGGTCCCAGGCAGCTGCCCTCTCTGAGTCTCAGTGTCCTCGTGGCATACGGGGCTGCCTCCACCTGCTCTCCAGGGGGCTGTGTGACTCCAAGGCCGAGGCGGCTCCTCCCTCCTCAGATGGGGACTCAGGTGCCACCATGAGGTGGACAGTTGGTATCAGAGCCTGGAAAGCACACACCTGGAAGTCCAGGTGCAGCCCCCAGGTCAGCTCCGAGCTGGGCCCGGGCGTGCAGGGTGTCGGAGTGGACGCGGCTCTTGCTTTCCAGGGGCTGTCTTTGTTTCCTAATGTGGGTAGCAGATGGCCAGCGGGTTCAGTACCTCCCAGGTTCACAGGCCGAGAGCCCAGCGCCTAGGGCACAGGGTCTCAGACGTCACAAGACGGGTCTCTTTTGGCCTGTCCACACAGACCCCACCCCCTTCCCAGCGTGCTGGATGTGGGCAGAAGTCAGTTCCTTGTAGTTGTGGGCTGGGCCCTGGGCTTGTGATGTTGGTGTCTGTGGACCCCATTCCTGCCCGGGCCTCTCTGCACATGGCAGCTTGCTCCTGTGGCGTGGGTTGGGCAGACGTGTTCACATTGAGCGCCGGCTGGAGAAGGTCTTTGAGAAAGTGCCTGGGTCTTGAAGTTCCCACCTGATTAGACCAGGCCCACCACAGTCATCTTCCTTAGGTCAACTCAAAGGCCTTTCCTCATTGTCACATGACCTAATCTTAAGAGAGACACCCTGTGAGAGCCCAGGGCCAAACCCACAGTCGAGCATTCACCCAGGTCAGGGGGGGTCCATTTGTAGACCTGCCTGGCAGCCGCAGCTCTCAGCCCGTGATCAAGACGGAATCACAGGTGCCCCTGGGTCTGCAACTGCACCCCCTCCCTGCAGCCCACCAGGCAGGCGCCCTTGCTCAGAGACGGCCCCCCCCCCAGAGCCAGGGGCCTCTCGGGCATCAGGGCCAGGCATGAAGGCCCAGCAGGGTGCGGACAGCTCCGCCTTGGCAGCTGCAAACAGAGTGCAGAGGGGGGCGGAGGGGTACAGGGTCACGGGGGCGAGGGAGCCTGGACAGGCGGCACCAGGTGCATGGGGGTCCTGGAGGAAGAGGCCAGAGGCTGGAAGCAGGGGGCAGAGCAAGGCAGTGACCTCAGGAGTGACCTGGCAGGATGCGCCCTAGGAGCCCTGTCCCTTGAGGACGTGTGAGGAGGTGAGACAAGTCACCTTTTCTTTTCATCTTTTCTGGGGGGACGGGCCAAGAGAAAGGGGTTTCATGACGTTGGAAACCCACGCGCATTGGCCCCTCAGCACCCTGGACAGCCTCCTTCCTGGGTGCTGTGCACTCCCAGCGCCGCCCTGCCTTCCCACAGTGGTGACGGACACCAGGTGGCGCTCTCCAGGCACTGCCGGCTGCCCGCTGCCGCCTGCTGGCCCAGGGGTTCTGACCAGAGGTGGTGGTAGCTGTCACCTCGCCCTCCTGGAGCCCCCCTGGGTCCCCATACCTGCACTGGGCAGCCCCTGGCAGGAGGGGACATCCGCTGGCCACCCCAGGCCCCTTTCCGACATCTGCCGCTGACCTTGGCTTTGCCTTCTCCCGGTGACCTCTGTAAGCCAGTGGAATCCTGAAAGGCTTCGACCCGCTGCTCAACCTCGTGCTGGATGGCACCATCGAGTACATGCGGGGTGAGTCCGGGAGGGGCCTTGGGGGCGTGGGAGATGCATGCCCCACCGGTTGTCCCTGGGGTCCGGTTGTCCCTGGGGTCTGGCAGCCTGCAGTGCTGGAGCGGGCGGGGCCACAGGGAGGGGAGCTCTCGAGAGCCGCCGCTCCCAGCCGTCCTCCCCTCCTGGCCCATCCCCCACCCAGAGGGACCGCATCCCCTGTGTCTCCTCCTGGGGGAGCACCTGCCCCGGCGGCCCAGAGTGCCAGCCCTGCCCTGCCCATCAGCCCAGGTCCCCAGCTCAGCACGGCACCAGGGGACGCAAGGACCTCGGGAAGGAGGAGGTCTGGCCCTTGGGCCTGTCCCCGAGGTTAGACAGGATCTGCTCTTGTCCCCTTATGGTCATCCCCCGTCGTGGGAGGAAGAGGCAGGAGGGTCAAGGGCTCCCAGCCTCAGCAACTGCGCCAGGTCCTCTGTCAAAATAAGGTCTGAAGGGGCTCTGGGGTGGCTCGGTGGGTGCGCACCCCTGGTTCCGACCCGTACCTGAAAACCATGGGGGCTGGGCTGAAGCCCCGCCTCACGTGGGCAAGGCCTGGGTCTGACCCTGGCACCGACCCAAAGTAAACCCTCTGCACGTGCCTTCAGCAGTGGAGAAGGCCCCGCGCCACCCGCATGCCACCCGCATGTCACCTTGGGCGCCTGGGCCCCCACGTAGCCCCAGGGTCAGGGCACCTGAGTTCCCTGGGCCTCGGACCTGGAAGCTGCACACAGTTGCCCGCAGCTCTGGCCCCATGGTCACACACCAAGAGAGGCTGCCCGTGAGGTCCTGGTCACTCGCAGCGTCCGCCCATGGGGTGAGGGTGGAGCCGCCGCCCGGCCCTTAGACGGGGTCTTGCTGACACGCGGGGTGCTGTCTGTCCTCCCGCAGATCCCGATGACCAGTACAAGCTGACGGAGGACACGCGGCAGCTAGGCCTGGTGGTCTGCCGCGGCACCTCCGTGGTGCTCATCTGCCCGCAGGACGGCATGGAGGCCATCCCCAACCCCTTCATCCAGCAGCAGGACGCCTAGTGGCCGCCTCGTGGCCGCCTCGTGGACTCAGCCGCCCCAGTGGGGGCAGACGTGTGTTTTCTTAATAAAATGTCAAGCTCAGGACGCGAGCACTCGGGTCTGCCAGGCGGGGTCCCGCTGTGACTGGGCATGCACAGCCCTGCGGGCACGGGCCAGCGAGCTGGGGCCTGGTTCTGTGAGGACCCTGCAGAGCTGCCTGCGGCCACCCACCCCCACTCCGCCCCGCTCCCGAGTCGCAGTGGACAGCACCCTGGACAGCTCTCTGCAGCTCACCACCCCACTCAGAAGTGGGGCTGCAGGCCAGGCAGGGCCTCTCCAGCCTCTCAGCAGGCGCAGCCCAGCCTGTGGGCCTTCCTGGCCCATCTCCCCAGCGTCCTTGTTGGGACCACCCTGGACACTGACCCCACTGAGTGTGATCACCTGGAGGCCAACAGCACGGCAGGGGCTAGAACCAGGGGCCCCGCAGCTGGAGAGACAGAAGCCTGGGTGGGAGGGGAAGCTGCAGGGCTGGCCTCTGATGACCGCCCAGCTGGCACAGGCTACCACAGGGCTGGCCCTGAGGGCCTGCCGCACCCAGCCACCTGGCCAGTCCCGCCCCCGCTGCTCCCCGTCAGAGGTCTCCCTGGGCCAGGAGGGGTTCTGCCGGCTCAGCCTCAGGGGCATTGCCCCAGGGAAGAGGGCGTGCCCTGCTCGCCAAGTCCTGCACCACACCCCTGCCAGGGGGTAGGCCCCCCCAGGTGACAATGGGTCCAGGACAAGCTGAGAACTTGGGCCAGGGCCCTCACTGGGTGGCAGGCCTCTGGGAGCCCTGTGGCAGCAGGTGGTCTGCAGTGGGTCAAGCACAGCACAGATCTGCTGCGCTCAGGAAGACGGGGTTCTGCCTCCGCATCCCGCACTGGCCTCCTGCCTTGTTTAGAGGTCAGCGTGGCCGGGCGTGGTGGCCACACCTGCCCTCCCAGCTCCTCGGGAAGCCGAGGCAGGAGGACCACAAGTTCCAGCCTCGGCAACTTGGCCAGGCCTGTCTCAAAAAGGGCTGCAGATGCAGCTCCGTGGAAGAGTGGCCGGGGCCCCCCGCAGCCCTGCAAAAACGAACCAACCAGGAGGTGAAGAAGCTGTTCTGTGCCACTGGGCGTCACAGACGCTTGTCACAGCGAAAGTTCATAGAGACCTGCTGACGGCAGCCTGTGGCAACATGCAGAGTCCGCGCGCGGTGGCAGACCACGCAGGACGGGGTGGTTAAGACCTTCTGCTCTGCGCATTCAAGCTTGTCAGAGAGGGGGGCGCGGTGGCACTCGCCCGCATCTGATCCTACAAGCTCAGGAGGCTGGGGCAGGAGGACCACAAGTTCAAGGCCAGCCTCAGCACCTTAGCCCCAGCACTGTCTCTAAATGAAAAGTAGAAGGGCTCTGCCCTCAGTGGGAAATCAGTCAGTGGCTAAGAAGCTCCTGAAGGGCACGTGCCCACCTGGTCCTAAGGACAGCTGCCGAGGGGTGTCACCCAGCTCTGAGCACTTAAATATTTTCAGAGGAGAAATCCAATACTTAATGTCGTCCCTTTAACATTACATTGAGAAGTTCACATTCTACAAGGCGTCAGGGAAGGGCCGAGACAGAGGGACTTGGAGACCCGGAGAGGGGCCAGGGAAGGACGAGGACACCGGTCCTGTGACACTGATCCCCGGACCCGTCAGTCCCAGCCCTGCGCCAGCACCGCAGCCACCGTGGCGCCGGGCCGTCCCCCGACCCCAGCGGGGCCACCCTTCCACTCCCTGCTCCTGGTCAGCACAGGCCTCAGGCTCAGTGGGGGGCTGCGCCCATCGACCAGGGGCCCGACCTGCTGCACGGGCCCTGGGTGACCACAGCCCTCAGCTTCCAGGTCCTGCCGAGAGGCTCCGCTCTGGGGGACAGATGGAGGTCCCTGCAGGCAGAGGAGCAGGTTCCGCCTCGGCCCCCAGGACTTGGCCTCACAGCAGGTTCCAGAAGCTTCTGCTGGTGGAAAAGACCCTGAGGCTCTGGCGGTCAGCTCTGCCTCTCCCCACCCCAGCTGCTGCGTCTCCGAGTAGCCCCCACACTCTGCAGCGGGTCCCAGAGGTGAGGAGGTGGCTCAGAGAGGCTGGCTCAGGGGGCCAGCCACAGCAGAACTCTCCCGGCTCCAGACCCACCCGGGACTCGGCGACCGGCCGTCTCGGTGCAGAAAGTGAGGCCCAGGGTAACTGGGAGGGGCCGAGGGGGACGGAGACAGCGGATGCCAAGCTGGAGAGCCGGGCGGCTCCCCGGGCCCGCCCCCACTCAGCCAGCCGGTGGTCCCAGCCCCAGGCCACCCTTGGAGGACCCAGACGAGCTGTGTCCGCGGGACTCGGCCACAGACGCCCTGCACACCTGGGCTGGGCCACTGCTGTCCTGCAGTGAGACTGGAGAGGGAGACTGGACACAGACCAGGGCAGGGAGGGGACAGGGGGAGGCTCGCAGGGCCCAGGGGTCCTGGTTCCCACGGGGACCACAGGCCTGACGTCATCACCACCCGTGTCCCCCTCCACCTTGCATCTGCAGGAGTGAGTCCGGCTGGCCCCCACCCCAGGCAGGGACGCCCCGAGGGACGGTGCCTGCCCTGAGCTTCTCTTCAACGTCCTGCCTCCACTCAGGGCCTGGTCGGACCAGGCCTGCACTTCCGGCCCCCTGCCCCCAGGGGTCAGGATTCCCCAGGAACGAAGATGCCACAGCACCAGGTCTGTGCTGGCAGAAGACGGCTTTGAGAGCTGGGCGCGGTGGCCAGCTGTCACCCAGCGGCCCGGGAGGCTGAGGCAGGAGGATGGCGCGTTCAAAGCCAGCCCCGGCACCTTAGTGAGGCCCCAAGCAACTCCGTGAGACCCTGTCTCTAAAAGAGACCACAGATGTGGCTCAGTGTCCTGGGTCCAATCCCGGGTCCCCAAAAGAAGAGGAGGTAGGGAGGGGGGAGGGGAGGGGGAGGCCAGCAGAGCCTGCGGAGGCCAGGAAAGGCCCGGGGTCTCCTGACGGGTGGCCTGGGTCACACCCCTGCTGCTGAACAGGCCTCTGAGTTCCTCCCCTGCCTGTGGCCTCCCAGCAGGAATTCCAGGTCGGCTCGACCCTGAGGCCCATGCCACTTGGGCAGCTCAGAGACCCCCCATATCAGCAGGACCAAAACCAGGCTGCCCCTCCCAGCCCCTGCCCGTCTCCCCATCTCAGGAGCCAGCCCTGCCAGGCGCCCATGACCGTGGGTTCACCTTGGCCTCTCATCGCCTTTGGCCGGATGGGAGGGGCTGACACCTGACCTTCAGAGTGGACGCCGAGGGCCGGGCAGCTCAGTGGTGAACACTCCTCAACTCGCGAGGCCCTGGCTCCATCCCCAGCACCACAAAGTGCAGTGAGGTGGGGTCATGCTGGGGCACCCACCCGAAGCCAGGGAGAAGGGGACATTCCCAGGTCATTTTTGAGACCAGCATAACCCCACCCAAAGGAGAAAATCCACAGGCCAGTGTCCCTCGTGACCAGAGAGGCAACAGCCTTGGCCAGAAATCAGCAAGTCCAGCCGTCTGTGAAGAGGGTGGCGTGTACAGGAGTGCGCCCGCCTGTCGTCCCAGCCGCTCGGGAGGCTGAGGCAGGAGGATGGCAGATCCAAGGCCCACCTGGGCAACTCACAAGGCCTCAATCCCTGGTCAGCAGGAGGAGAAGGAGATGGTGCGTCACGACGCCGGACCACCCTGTGGGTCTGTGCCAGGAATTCCAGGTCGGCTGGGCCCCGAGGCGCAGGCTGTTTCCCACACTGAGCGTGAGGAGGGCCCTCCCTGCAGATGCTCCAACACCCTCCACGTTAAGGTGGGAACTTGTGCAACCCAGAAAAAGGGCCCGCGACCCCCACCGCTGCCGTCTCAAGAGCGAGACTGGACACCCCAGGCCAGGACGAGGCCACGCTGCCCGGGGGCTCACAGTGCCAGAGGGAGAGAGGTCAGAAAGCCAGGCCCGAGTTTCCATCGGCACAACCTGAGAGTCCCACCTTTGCCTGTCCCCGGACCAGGACCCGAGGGTCACGCCACAGCAGCCCCTTGGCCGATGCTGCTTGTGCCCACCTCCTCTCAAATCCCTCCACCAGCAGTGAATCCCATCAGTGCTCCCCCGAAGCCCTCGCCCTCCGGGTCCTGCAGGGCCTGGCATCCCTCCTGCCCGTCCCCTCCCATCTCCCGCTCACTGCTGCTCTCCACTGCAGCCCTCTAGAGGCCCGCCCTGGAATCTGGAGCCTGAGCTCACCCCGCCTCAGGGCCTTGGCACACACTGTTCCTGCTCCACCCGTATTCACCCCCGCTGCCTGCCTCTGCGCTCTCTGTGGAGGTCTGCCTCCCCTGTGAGGCCAGGTGTGCAGGTGGCCCCCCCGTTGACCGGTCAGGGCCTGGGCCTCCTCCCTAGCTGTTTGCTGGTGTTTGCTGGCCCCACCCCCGCCCATCTAGAAGCTTCATGAGCCGGGGACAGGGCATCTCCCTACTCAACATGGCAGCCAGGAGGGACACCTGGTGCCCGGCAACCACCGGACGCCTGGTCAGCCGTGTCCGCACCCGGGGAGCCCCCAAAGGCCGCCGAGATTCTTCAGCCAAAGCGTTGCGAGGAGGCTGGTGGACGGCCCCCCGGGGTGGACGGCCGGACTGGACCTGGACCTCACAGGGCGACAGGGGGAAGGGCGCAGGCGGGGCGGGGTCGTGGCTCGCTGCGGGCGGCCGTCCCTGTGTTCAGGGAGGCAGAGGCTCAGGCCGAGCTCAAGCCACAGGCCCCAGAGTCGGGGCGGCTTCCCGCTCCTCGCTCCCCTCTGTTGCTGGGAGTTGGACCCAGGACCCTGCGCACGAGGCGAGTGCACTCTCCACTTCTGTGTGCCTCAGAGGAGGGATCTTTCGATGGTGGATGAGTGAGCTTCCTTCTGAGCTCGGGTGGGGGCGGTTACTTACTTAGGAGACGGTTCTTGGAGTTCCCGCCTCTGTACCTAGAATCGTCCCACATGGCCACCCAAGCCAACCCTTGTCTAGAACCCTCTATGGCTCTTAACTTCCCTTAAGACGACCTGAGTGCCTCTTGCTCACT